CGTGCAGCGTGCAAGTTACGTATCAAGGTACTATTTCACTTGAGAGATGTTGCGGCAGAGACCGCTCGCGTGGCATGACGTTCGCTGAGACCTGTGTCCGGTCCATACAGTATTTATTGCTCATCGTATTTCTACCGCTGTCGCACTAGTGTGTGATCGTACACACAACCACCGCAGGGTCGCGAAGAGGGATTTCCGCTTGAGCGTCTGTAGCGATGTGTGCGCGCGCAAGCTGGTCGAGGCGGATATTAGTGCTTGCAGATGCGCTCGCATGACGCTCAGGATAGTATTTAAAGGCAGGACTTGCCTCACAACATCACGGACGGAAACCGTTACCATCACTATATCGCTATATTAATGATTCTATATCTACTATCTATATGTGATTATCGCGGGCTGTAGCTATTGTATACTACCATATGTATCTATCTATCTAGTATCACGAGAATAATGTATCAATCTATCCTGGGTATTTACTTCATGCAGATCCAGCTCGAGACCACCTACTCCCCAGTATATTATCTATTTGGTTCTATCTATCCGGTCCAGCCTCCATCATCCAATCATCCACTCATCCCATCCATTCATTAGATCCATCATCCAGTCCATTCCATCCATCCATCCCATCATCCATCCATCCATCATCCACCATCCTCCATCCATTCCCACCATTCTTCCAGCTTGGTCATATATCTATAGCAATTAGTGGGGACTAGCCTAACTGTGGTTTAAATGTTAACTTCTCCGCCAAGCGGACGGGTAACTGTAATCCAGTCTCGTGTGTGGGTTATCGTGTGTGTGTGTGGTTAGCCACTAGGAGATGTCCTGCGAGAGTCGAACTTCGAAAGCAAGCCAGCTCAGAATCGCCATAGGACGGGAGGGGCCGTGATTCCGAGTCAAGCAGCAGCTCGCCTGATAGGGGGTCCAGTCGCAGCAGAGCGGAGCAGTGTATATATCACATGCATATACATTTACATTCGCTGGCGGAGGCAGTATGCACTCTCGCGCAACGTGACGCTCTGGTCTGGTTGCGCTTGTGGACAGTACGTATGGATGGTTCACGCGACGGCAGAAGTTATGTCACCATTCCTTGCCATAACCCCAGAGTACAGGAAGATAACGGAGCGTGACGCGCATACCACATAATCATACAAGAGGATCGTCAGGTCAGCTGTCGTTATTTATCTCGAGCACAGCAAGCAGCCACCGCGAGCGCCGAGCTAGGTGTTAATGAACTAATGTTCTAAGAGAGAACAGAGGAGGACGAGACGGAGGAGAGAGGGAGGAGAGAGACGAGATGCGTCGGAAGGAGAGAGAGAGGACGGAGAGAGCGTGATTAAACGCAGAGAAGATGCGAACAAGTGGCAGAGCAGCCTACGGGTATCACCATCATCATCGTAGTCCATCAGTTACTCTAGCAACAGCTCGAAGTTAGCAGCCGCAGCATGCGTAGGTGAAGAGGCAGCAGAGAGAGAGAGAGTGAGTAAGCGAAAGGATGAGAAGGGAGAGAGACTGGTTAGTCGTGATTACTCGTCTTAGAACGTAAGGGCAGGGACAGGATTGTCAGTAAAGGGTCTCCGTCTAGATTGAGTGGAAGGAGGAGACGCAGATGTATGTAAATTGCAGCTGCTTCGTTCGTGAATGGAAGTTAGAAGTTAGAAGTAAAAACGGCTTCGGTTCGCTTGATTCGTCACTTTTTCCGGTACTGTGCTTCTCTCTCTCTTCTCTCTCGTTCTCTTCTCTCGCTCTCTCTCGCTTCTCTCGATGTGTGTGTGTTGTGTGTGTGTGTGCTGTGTGTTGTGTTGTACTTCTTTTTCCTTCGTGTCTTCTCTCTCTCTCTCTCTCTCTCTCTCTCTCTCTCTCTCTCTCTCTCTCTCTCTCTCTCTCCCTCTCTCTCTCTCTCAATCTCGTTCTTCCGTTCCTGAATATGAATTCCGCTATTAGCATCAGTAACGCCGGCGTCTTTGAGACGTTTACTAGTCCTTTTTGCATCGGGGTTCCTGTCGGTAATTGGCTTCATCTATTCATGTCGGAGAGCGCTGCAGCAGCTGACGCGAGGGTAGCAGGTGTACGAGATTGACTGAGTTGAGTACTGACTGTATTGACTGAGTTGGAGTTGAGATTGACTGCGTTACGCCTGGCAGAATTGCAGCACTATAATACACGAGGCATCTCGCTCAAATCGATGCGGCGCCAAGCCGCGGGCAATGTGAACAAACAAAAACCCCAATATTGGGAGAATGTAAAACTAGACCCTGTGGTGTGGGTGGGTATACGCGTTTGTTCCTTGCTGCTTGTATTTTTACCCCCCCCCTCCCAAAAAAGGTAAGATGTGCGGTATTTATGTATAATCGGGAATAGATATTAAGACATAATAATTATTTTATTATCTATCTATATGTTGATCATTGCTAGTGGTTATCATTGGCCTATGATGTTTGCCGGTGATAAAACATGTCAACAAAAGCCAGAAAGCCATGGTCGTGTATGACTTAGGATTCGTTACGGAGTGTAGCATTCCCTACGAAACTTTTCAGTTTGCTCATTGGTTATTGTCGGTTTGTTGCTAGATACGTTCACGTGTCCGCTTGATATTTCCGCATTCATTTACACTTATAATGCTAAGAACTAATAAAAAGAAACAAATAGAATATAATATTATTGTGAAAAAAAGGCTCAGCGCGCCGCTACAGAACAGTTTGTATTATTCACTAGGCATTATTCGTACTAAATGTAAATTGATGTCTAAACCTAAACCTTTATACGGCACTACCTTGTGTCGATCATTAATGCACAGGATAATTTGCTCTTGAAGTATTATGAAAAAAGTTGGATTATTTCTTAACACATCAAGTAAAAAACCAAACTTACATGCAAGCGCACACAAACAGCCACACAAGCACACTCACATGTACGTGTATCGTACGTACACAACGTTCGCACGGACACAACGCACGCACGCACACGCACGCACACGCACGCACACGCACACCTAGATATGTCTCAGAACAATTATTTCATATCATTTTATTTTACTTCTGTATAACAAAGACAGCAGACCGGCTGTCGAAACTTTCACTCCTGCAAATATTTTGCATTCATCATCATTATTATTATTCGTGTATTATCGTTAGATTTATTATCATTATCATCAAAATAATAACCATTATGAATGTCATTTTCTAACGGCGAGTCGCTTGTTGCTCCTAGTTTTACCATTGGAACCTCATTAAATAAATAAATAAACGAGTGAATAAATAAAAACTTATTAAATAATCAGATAATAACTTTTTTTCCAAATAAATAGTTATTTAACATCCTGATAAAGATTTCCCGAAGGGAGATCGAAAATTTCGATAGTAAGTTCATTTCTTGAACACAAGATAAATATGAATTCATAATAGTTATTAAGAGTAAAAATAATATATTATTATAATATTATAAATAAATGAATAAATAAACATGTTCTTGTCGTTTGTCGTCGATGCAGGAACTCGCGGCACAGACTCGGCGGTCTGGAGGAGAGGATTGAGGATGCGATGGGGCAGACGCTGAACGAGGCGCGAGACAACCTAGCAAGCCGCATCGACAGAACAAAGACAGAGCTGCACGGCATCGCTGCTGAGAAGGGCTTCGCACCGCCACCGGACAGCAGCGATGTGGAGACTCGCACGTGTAAGTATAGATATGAGTGGAGAGAGAGAGAGAGAGGGGGGGAGAGAGAGAAAGAGAGAGAGAGAGAGAGAGAGAGA